TATGTGCTTTTAACTTGTGTTTATATGACTTCATCCTCTGGATTTGTTACATTTATCTACTTGTTTTTATTTATTGAATTTTAATGTCATCAATTGTAATCATCTCATCTTTTGTTTGGCGCGTCATAATCATCTCTGGTTTTGCGCCACAATCACTCACTCACCCTGAACAGATCCGTAGAGCTTGATGATGAACAGGATCCATTTTTAACAATACTGATGACCGGGCGAATCCGTAAACAACTGAGCCATAGTCCAGTCTAGAGCGAATTAGAGCTCTGTAAATGCGAAGCATGGAGCAACGCTCTGCACCCCAGGAGGTGTTCGCCAAGGCTTTTAGAATATTTAAAACTTTGGTACACTTTTTTCTCAAGTTTAAGACATGAGGAAGGAAAGTCAATTTTCGGTCGAACATCACCCCTAAAAATTTTACTTCCGATGCAACTGGAATTACAGACCCATTGAGGTATAATTCAGGCTCAGGATGCAGACCTCGCTTTTTACAAAAATGCACGCACACAGTCTTCTGTTTTGAAAACGTAAATCCTTGTCTTTTTGCCCATTCCTGGATCCTGTTCAAAGCGATCTGGAGCTGCCTCTCTACATGTCTCATATCCGCACCCCGACAGCTAATTTGTAGATCATCAACATATAAAGATCCTGAAATGGTGGGAGGAAGTTCTTTTAATACAGAATTTATTTTTAGGCTGAACAGAGTTACACTAAGCACACAGCCTTGAGGCACACCCTCTTCCTGTTCAAAAATATCTGAAAAAACAGAGCCAATCCTTACTTGAAAAGTCCTAGTATTCAAGAAATTCTGAATGAAAATTGGTAGGTTGCCGCGCAAGCCACTCTCGTGAAGATCCCGAAGTATACCGTATCTCCATGCCTTATCATAAGCTTTCTCAATATCAAAGAATACCGAGACTAGGTGACTTCTTCTTACAAAAGCTTTTCGAATGGATGTCTCTAAGAGGAGCATATTATCTACGGTAGTCCTCCCCTTTCGAAAACCACTTTGATAAGGCGATATAATATTATTCTTTTCCAAGAAGTAGACTAGGCGGCTGTTTACCATTTTTTCAAACAGCTTGCATAGGCAACTCGTAAGGGCAATTGGCCGATAGTTGGAGGGATTCCTTGGATCTTTCCCTGGCTTGGCAATAGGAATTACAACAGCTCTCTTCCATGCACTGGGAAAAGTATGCTCCTTCCACACTCTATTGTAAAGCGTGAGAAGGGCATTCAGTGACTTATAGGACAGATGCTTTAGCATATCGTAATTCACGCCATCGAGACCCGGAGACGACCTATGTGTCTGTAACAAAGCTCTCTTTAACTCTAGCACAGTAAAATCTCTATTATAAGGCTCAAATTTGGAAGAGTTGAAAGCGATGGGATTTTTCTCAGAGCGTTGCTTGATAGAAAGAAATGCAGGTCAGTAATTTCCGCTGGAAGAAACGGCAGCAAATGTCTCACCAATAGTATTAGCAATTTCTTCTATGGAGCTAATCACTCGGCCATCTTTTTCCAAAAAGGAAAGTGAGTGGTCTTCATATATATGCCGCATGCTTTTCGAACTCTTTCCCAAACCCGCTTACTCGGCGTAGAGGATGTTATTGACGACACATATGAAATCCAGTAATCCCTCTGGCTCTGCCTTCTTACTTTTCGTGCATTTGCTTTGGCTCTTTTAAAGGCTATGAGGTTTCGCAGGGTAGGATATCTACGAAAAATAACCCATGCTTTTTTCTGTTTTTTCAGTGCTTCATGACAGTTGCGATTCCACCATGGTTTCGTATATTTAAGCATTTTTCATGATGTTCTAGGAATCGAAAGCATAGCTGCCTGAATAATAGTATTAGTAACAGCTTCCACAGCGTCATCGATATGCACATCTTCTACCATTTCCTCTGTGAGCTCTGCGGAGGAAGAAGAGTTCCCAGTCTGTCCTGTCCAGTATAAACCGAGGGAGTCTCGACATGGGGTTTGCTCCTCTTCGTGCAAGAGATACAAAAATGGGATAATGATCGCTGTTGTACAGGTCATTTCCGACACTAAAAGTGCAAAATGGCAACAGAGATGGTGAACAGATGGCAAGGTCGAGAGCGTGGAATGTCCTTGAAGGCTCATGGAAGTACGTATCCTGCCCATTATTTAGGAGACAAAGGCTATGATCTTCGATCATCTGCTCAATTTGTCTTCCTCGGCAATTTGTATCTTTACTACCCCAGAGCGGACTATGGCCGTTAAAATCACCTATTATGATGAAAGGCTCAGGCAGCTGCTCTAAAAGACCATTTAAATATTGCTGATCAATATGCTCATTTGGAGGCAAATACAGAGAAACGACTGTAACAACAATATCAAAATTTGTTTGAATAGCGACAACTTGGAGGGATGTCGTCAAAGAAAGCACATTTGAGGGATAATTCAGTGAGGGTGAGGAGACCTACACCTCCACTGGCAACGCTCACCTGCAAGGTTATCTTTCCTGACGAAGGAAACCTCCGAAGTTTTGCCTGTTGTTCTGGTTTTAGATTTGTTTCCTGTATTGCGAAGCATACAGGATGATAAGCATTAATTATGGCTTTGATGTCGAGCAAATTTCGGTGGAAACCGCGACAGTTCCATGAGACGAGGGTGGCCATTATGACTGGTTTTTGTTCTTTCTGTGCTCTTGTTTGGTTTTCCGTGGAAGTAGATGCCTGGGAACTTCTAGACCCTCTTCTACTTCCATACCGTCTGAATCCGCAGATTCAGAAATCATATCGTCAAGAGAGCTATTGCTAGGACTTCTACTTTTATTAATTCTTTTGTGACTTTCAGTTTTAGGTTTACTTTGAATGACTGTTTCTTTTTTTTTGTATTAAATGAGTTGCATTTTCCGTTTTCTTGGTGGATGTGGTTGGTTGGGTTTTATTTGCTTCAGTCTGCGTGCTTATTGATGTTTGGGTGGCAATGCTACGTGTTGTTTTAACTGCACTGGCATAAGATTTGTTTGATTGGAGCTGTGTGCTTTGAACTAGTTTTCTGGCTTCAGCATACGAGATGTTCCTGGTAACTTTAAGAGTCTGTACTTCTTTTTCGGATTTCCATTTTGGGCAGAGGCGTGAAAATGCTGGGTGCTGACCCTTGCAATTTATACACGAAGGCGCAGCGGTACAATTTTCAGAATCGTGGCCAATCTGTGAGCATCGGGCGCATGTGAGGCTGCCACGACAAGACGTCTTAGAATGGCCGAAACGCTGGCATTGGAAACATCGCATAGGGTTTGGAATATAAGGTCTTACAGGAATATTTAGATATCCGGCCTTAATATTCTTAGGCAGATCAGGCGTGTTAAAGGTAAGGATCACGTGTTTCGTATCGATCAACTTACCTTCCTTACGCATCTTGATCCGCCTAGCACCGCAGACATTTTGGTCGGATAGCTCGGAAGCGATCTCTTCTTCAGGAACGTACAGAAGGTCGAATTCCGATATTACGCCACGACAATAATTCAGTGTCTTATGTGCTGTTACAGTGACATTCGCTTGCGCAAGTTTAGTAATCTGAAGTAAAGAAGCAGACTGGGTGGCTGAGTTTGTATCAATAAGCAAGTCTCCGGAGCGGAGACTCTTTATGTTTCTCGGCTCACCAATACAAGACTGGATGTATTTGATTTATTACGAAAGGAGACATCTTACGCATTTCGCCAGAAGGACTAGAGCTGAACTAGGAAACGGGGACTATTGTTGATGATTTTTTTCATTTGCATCTGTCCGTAATTTTTTTGCAGTAGGATTTTCAGAACTAGGTTGAGTGACTGGTTTAGTAGGTAGACGTTTCAGAACTAGGTTGAATGATTGGTTTATTAGTAGATGGTTCAGAACTGGGTTGAGTGACTGGTTTAGTAGTAGGACGTTTAGAACAAGGTTGAGAGACTGGAGTGACTTGAGTAAGTGGAGTGACCTTCGAAATCTTTAATTAAAAATATATGTGTGAAGATTTAGCCATATTGAAGAGAAGAGAAGATTCGGGTCCGACGGCCCCGCCCACCACGGAGCCCAACAAGGGAACACAGATTCCTGTGTTAGGGCTAGCCGGACCTATAACGCAAACTGAAGCCCCACAGTCGGCTTTCCCGAAAGCAGGTACTCCCGAGAGCTTGACCCAAGCCACTGACACAAGGACTAGTGACCAGCCGATTGACACCCGTGAGGACGACTAAGGTGCCTCCCGTTTAGCTGAAGCAGAGGCCAAAGCAGTGTGTTGGGGACAGTACCTCGCCCCTCAACTATCAGGACCCTCCTTTCCAGCGACACGGGTCTCCACGCACGGCAAACACGTGGGCAGTTTTCTCGCCACTCGAGAACTAGAGACAAGGTCTGTTCCAGTCTCTCGTCACGAGCCCCAAACTCCGTAGAGAGAAACCACAAGGGAGAAGGGAAGGGGAAAAGTTCCAGCCAAGAGGAGAGGAGACGGAAAAGAGGAAAGATCACTGGGGCTCCAGGATCGTGACACCCGTCTCACCAAGAAGATGATCCCCTGAAGGGCTAGTGTACCTCGGGATTGCCACACCCGTACTCACAAAAGTGAGCCCCCTGAGGGTTCATAAGAATGTGATTTTACTGCTTGCATGCATGATTTATCTAAATCTCTTGATTATAATTTCAAGAAACTGATTATTTGTGTAAACTCCGTATCTGTATAAAATGGTCAATTATTAGCAATTTAAAACAATAATAATATTCAGATATATTTACAGTTCTTTATTTTGTATAAAGTTTTAGATATCTATCACAGAATGACAGTAATTGGTCATTAAACGAAATGAAAAATAACTTTTTCTTATCATTCTAGCACTACGCAGAACACCAATTCACCCTTCCAATAATCAACACAAACGTAAACAAACAACTCTCCACGACTGGTCGGTAAGCGCAGAAATCACGAAAGTGTCTCTGCGCAACTAGTCGGGCTTTTAGCATTTTTACCATGTTTGAGCTAACCGTCCGACGTCGTATGGGTAGACACAGCCTGTTTTAAACAACTAAACTCATATTATGTATTTTCACTCCTTTTTGTAACGCTTCATTCCTGAAAAGACGCAAAATTATTTTGCAAACATGGCTATGCAAAGGAAAACTAACGTAAGTTTTTTTCTATGCTTTTACTATATTATGTGAGTAAAGGAATGACTTTATTAAGTAAATGATTATTATAAAATATATATTTTGCAGGTTCGTCTCCCTCCCGAAGTCAATCGTATATTGTATGTTAGAAATCTTCCATATAAAATAACGGCTGAAGAAATGTACGATATATTTGGAAAATATGGAGCTATAAGGCAGATTAGAGTGTACGTAATGAATCTAATTTTTAATGTTGCTTGTATTGTTCTGAAAATACTTCAGCACATTTGGGCTAAATAGTTAGTTTAGTCATAGTTCCCCCCTTTTTTTGTTTTTGTTTGGTGCGAGGGAATGTTTTTATAAAAAGAAATGTCATTTCTGGCTAAAGTGCAGAATCGCCCACTTATTTGTTTGGCGTTTTTACAAGAGTAAGAATTGGATTTTTGTCAATTTTCTTTGACTTTTTAAGTGAAAATAGGTCGATGTGTACATGGATAAAGTCAAGAAAGTGCACAATGCCGTTTTTGTGCGATTCTGGGATGTTTTTTTGGTTTAATCCTAGTACCCGGTGCATACGGGATTTGGCTTCTTTTGGCGACTTTATGATGAGCAGTAAAAACGAAACATATAGGATGAGTAGTAAACAGGTCATTCAAAGAATATATATAGTTATACATAGTATATAATATGTATGTAGTGATAATATATAGTGTATAGTATATACATAGACGTTCTTTGGGTCATTTTTGGTGTTGGCGATAATTTTCAAAAATCGCACCAAGGCTGCACCGTATACTAGGATTTTACTGTTTTTTTAAGTGAAAATAGGTCGATGTGTACATGGATGCCGAGTATGTGCAATTCTTAAAAACGCGCCAAGCAGTGGGCGATTCTGCACTTTTCCCAAATATTTTAATTGAGAAAGTATGTCCTAGCAGATGTATTCTAATGTGTGCCCTTTTTGATTACTTAGAAACTTAATTGTTCCATGTGTATTCATGAATAAAAAATTTTAGGTTTCTTCCGCAAAGAACCTGTTGGCAATACTGCCTTTTTTGTCACCATGCTTGCCAACATGAATGGTTTTAATGAAATATGGTTAAGTTTTGAAATAAAACATGGCTGATCTTTAGAATATGGTAACTGGTAGTTTGGCGACATTTTGGAGGCGATAAAGGTTACTACCTGGGACTTTGGTAATAATGTGAGCAGTACTCAGTTCCGATTACGCATTATTTTGGTGTGAGGGAAATGAGAGATCATGAGATATGTCATGTGACATTTAATGGACGAATTACGGGTTCTTTAATCGGAAAAGGGGGAAAATTTCGGGAAAAAAATCTGGAAATTCTTTATTGGCATTTTCTATTTAGGTTCATTGTGTGTTGTGTGAAACAGTGTTGGTTAATTTTTGGATCCCATGGCCCTAACTAAAGTGAATTCGAAATGGGTATTTAGTGGGATTGAAAGGGAAGTAGTAATAAGTGTTTCTTTAAGCTTGTGCGAGATAGAAGTAAAGATGTTTTATTAAGTTATTTATTTTACCTGGTACCTTGCTGTGAACTATAAGTATGATTTTCAAGATCCTGAAACAGAAATAAGAAAAGTTTATTGGACAGGTAATCAAGATTCTGAAGAAGATTAGGTAAGTTAGTTTTTTTAATTATTTGAGGATATTATTTTTATGCATTGTTCTAAATGTAAGGTGGAAGTAAAGTAATTTGCGTAAACGTGCATGGAAATAATTTAAATATTTGACACTAAGTATTTGTAACCATTTGTGATGTTTGCGGTATGAATTAGTTAGTGACGTTTGTAATATAATAGATAATGTAGAGGTAGAAGTTTTTGGATATTTTATTTATTTTATACGGGGAAATCTTCATATTTGGAAAGGGTAGATACTTTTTCGCGATCAGGTAATTTCATATAAGTTCTTTTTACCGGGTTTAAAGATTCAGAAAATTGTTATGCATTTTCGTGAAATTTTTCTAATTTATGAGAAAAAAGCAGTGTACATGGATATAGTGAGGAGTGTGCGCAATGCCATTTTTGTGCAATTCTGGGATTTTTTTTAAGTAAAAATAAGTCGATGTGTACATGGTTTAGTGATATTTTAATTAAATGATAGTTATTTTGTGAATTTTATGTTTGTAGGAATTTGGTATACGTTTCAGTTGAAGTGAACGTGTATGGAAATAATTTAAATATTTAACACTAAGTATTTTGTAAACATTTGTAATGTTTGCGGTATGAATTCGTTGGTGACGTTTATAATATAATAGATAATTTAGAGGCAAAAGTTTTTGGATATTTTATTTATTTTATACGTGGAAATGTTCGTCCTTGGAAAGGGTATATACTTTTTCGCGATCAGGTAATTTCATATATGTGCTTTTTACCGAGTTTAAAGATTCACTGAATTTTTTTGCATTTTCGTGCAAATTTTTGTAATTTATCAGAAAATAGCAGTGTAGATGGATAAAGTTAAGAGTGTGTGCAATGCCATTTTTGTGCAATTCTGGGATGTTTTTTTAAGTAAAATAAGTCGACGTGTAAATGGTTTATGTGTATGTGATATTCTGAAAAACGTGCAAGGAGTTTACGATTGTGCACTTTTTCCCAATTTTGCAGTTAATATTTGTCATGATTAAGCAGTTTTGTTACATAAAATTTCTAGCATAAGTGTAATTCGGCTAGTAGATTGTTGGAAAAAGTGTTCAGTAAATAAAAAGAAAAGAAACATGTCTTTACTTCGTGAAGACAAAATATCGGCGAAAAAAAAATAGAGGGTTGCTGTAGCAGAGTTAGTCGCCAAATTTTCGCCAAGTTACCATAATCCAAAGATCAACCCAATTATGATCTAAAAGGTATCAAAATTTACAAAAAAAAAAAAAAAAAAAAAAGCTTAATATTTATTTGTTTATTTTATTAAATATTTCTTTCAATGTAAGTTGTTTAAGTTGCTTCGTTTTATGTGATAATACTTTCTCTTTAATTCTTTAAACAGACATAATTTCTTGTTCAGTTACAAAGTTCCGCTGCTCAAGTCCCGCTAATTACTGTGCCGAGAATGCCGACTAACTTCTCAATCAAAATTTTTTCGTTTTCACTTACCTCTCTGTCACATTCTTCATGTCTTTATCCATTTTTTGCAGCAATTCCACTTTTTGTTTGTTGGACATCGAAACATACTTTCGTTTTGTAGGTCCTTTGGAAGTTCCAGCATCGAAAATTCTATTTGACATAATCGAAAGTTCAAGTTTACTTTTATAAAATTGCTCCTACAGCCTGCAAAAAATAACAAGCGGGATCCAATTTGAAGATTAAGGAACAACGCAATCATTAACATTAACTGAAATAGATAATTAGATAATTTTAGCTTACACCGTCCGTTATACATTAAACGCGCAGGCGAAAACATATTCTGCACTTGCGCACACGCATATGCGCAGTAGTCAATGTCTTACGCGCACGCGTTGGCACATGCGCAGAAAGTTTTTAGCTTTGAAGTCCGGATTATGGGTGTCCGAATTAACGACTTTTGACTGTATATGTTTTGTAAGTATTTTGCATATTTTCATTAGTATATATGTTTTATCTTTGCATTTCATAAAATAAATTATTATTTAACCAAGGTTAATTTTCAAATTTATGCTTTTATATGATTATTCTTCAGTTTCAATTTTCCAAGGTTAATTTTCAAGGTTTTTCAAATTTATACTTTTATATGATTATTCTTCAGTTTCAATTTTCCAACAACATTTTTTTTGATCAAATTGTATATTGAAAAAAATCTTTTAGAAAATTTTTGCATATTTTAACTTTAAAATATATGTAGATTTGAAATATGTAATAAAAAATATGCAATTTTTGAAACTATTTTGATAAAAAAAATTATGCAAGCAGAGGTTTAAACATATTAAGTAAATACAAGTTAAATTTTGCTTGTTTAACATGATACAGTTAAATTAAGTTAGCAGAAGAGCATGTATTAAACATAGACAGTTGTAATAAAATATGTGGAAATGCTATTTTCTCATGAATTACAAAAATTTGCACGAAAACGCAGGAAAATTTTCTTAATCTTTAAACTCAGTAAAAAGCACATATATGAAATTACCTGATCGCGAAAAAGTATATACCCTTTCCAAGGATGAACATTTCCACGTATAAAATAAATAAAATATCCAAAAGCTTTTACCTCTAAATTATCTTTTATATTATAAACGTCACCAACGAATTTATACGCAAACATTAAAAATAGTTACAAATACTTAGTGTCAAATATTTAAATTATTTCTATACACGTTTACTTCAACTGAAACGCATGCCAAATTCCTACAGCATAAAATTCACAAAATAACTATCATTTAATTAAAATATCACTAAACCATGTACACATCGACTTATTTTCACTTAAAAAAACATCCCAGAATTGCACAAAAATGGCATATGCACACTCTTCACTATATCCATGTACACTGTTTTTTTCTCATAAATTAGAAAAATTTCACGAAAATGCATGAAAATTTTCTGAATCTTTAAAGCAATTTGGTATACCTTTCAATTGAAGTAAACGTGCATGGATATATTTAAAATATTTGACACTTAAGTATTTGTAACCATTTTTAATATTTGCGGTATAAATTCGTTGCTGACGTTTATAATATAATAGATAATTTAGAGGTAAAACTTTTTGTATATTTTATTTATTTTATACGTGGAAATGTTCATCCTTGGAAAGGGTATATACTTTTTCGCGATCAGGTAATTTCATATATGTTCTTTTTACCGGATTGAAAGATTCACAAAATTTTCATGCATTTTCGTGAAATTTTTCTAATTTATGAGAAAAAAGCAGTGTACATGGATATAGTGAAGAGTGCGCAATGCCATTTTTGTGCAATTTTGTAGTAAAGTAAGTAAAAATAAGTTGACATGTAAATGGTTTATGTGTGTGTGCTATTCTGAAAAACGCTCAAGGAGTTTGCGATTGTGCACTTTTTCCCAATTTTGCAGTTAATATTTGTCATGATTAAGCAGTTTTGTTACATAAAATTTCTAGCATAAGTGTAATTCGGCTAGTAGATTGTTGGAAAAAGTGTTGAGTAAATAAAAAGAAAAGAAACATGTCTTTACTTCGCGAAGACAAAATGGCGGCGAAAAAAAAAATAGAGGGTTGCTGTAGCAGAGTTGGTCGCCAAAAAATCGCCGAGTTACCATA